TTATGATAAAGTCTGAAGTAGTCCAGCTAGACAAATTATGAATTTGGCAGTTTTATAGTCAAGTTGGAAGTGGCTCAAAAAGAGTGAGCCTAGAGGAGTATGTGGTGATAATGGGATGGTACTTAGAGGAGAGCTAGGAGCGGTGATACCGCAGCACTATTTGGAATCGAAAGCGGAGGATGTCGAAAGTAGCAAATTCTGGGCGAAAGAAGTAGAACGAATACAAGCCCATTTGATTCGCCGCGATGAAATTACCTCAATTATATTATCCGGATACAGTTCACGCAATTCGGCGTTGTGTAACCGTCTGAACTCTCCGGTTAACTCATCCTTCTTCGGTTAGAATATTCTATGCAATACTTTATTTTCAAAAACCTTAAGACGCTGCTCATCCCTTAATGTAAGCGGCCAAGTTTCGCATCCATAAAGAACTATAGGCAAGATAATTGTTTTATAGATTCTAATTTTTAAGTTTCGGGACAAGAGGCGCGAACTAAGTAGTTTTGTCACAGAAAAATTACAAGCATTTCCCGTCTTCAGTCTAACCTTAATCTCTTCTTCAATTTCGTTTTTTCTAGTTATCGTAGAACCTAGATACCTAAATTTATCTACCTGTACAAACATATTACTATCTATATCGATATCATCAGTAGTAACGCCATTTTTGCAGCTAACCATAAATTTTGTTTTATCCATGTTTATTTCAAGCCCTAGTTCTTTACCGGCTTTCATTAACGTTGTCGTATTTAGTTTTATAGTTTCAACGTCTTTGCTTAACAGTACCAGATCATCACATAATATACTCATCATCAGCATAAGTAATATATACTAAAGTAAATTAAGACTTAGACTATTAAAAATATTACCTATATCAACATTTTTGGGACTTATGAAGTGTTTGAATATAAGTAACCATTTGACATGATCAGGCGCTCTCACCTTTTGATAGACCGAGTTGATAGAGTCAAGTCCTATTTCCCGACGGTAATTCCTCGTTGGTGCTTTCCTTTTCAAAGTTCTCAGAATCAAAATATCTTCCAAACTCCTTAAACTCTTTACTCTATTCACTCTCTATATTCTAGTTCACAATCTATTGAGCATTATATCTCGTCCCATACAAACACTGTCTTTAGCAAATCTTTCATAATTTGTGTTGCTTCCATTTGGAACTCTTTATGCTAATTCTTCATACGTGAATCTTCTTCCGCAAATTTCTTTAACCAATTTCCATTCCTCCACCTAGTTTATATTCTAACTATCGCATCTAAGCATTATTAATTGTAGTAATTAATAATTGTTACTATTTGCAGTTAATTAACAATATAAGTAACGTTTGATTATCTTGTCAGACTAATGTGCGTAATTTCTAATGTGGGTAATCCAGACTAATATGTGTAAATTTTCATTATTCTTTCATTAGTTTTAGTCCCGGAATAATTTATTTATAATAACAATTTAATTTAATTTATTATCATATTTATTTTTTCATATTCTCTGATATATTTATAAATTGCTTGATCATATTAAACTTCTACTTATATTAAAAAAATAATATGATATAAAAATAGTGACATTTCGTAAGTTAGATTATGATTATAACTAATTATTCTGCATGCTACAATATATTAAAAGAAAATCGGTCATAAAGATACCAAATTTTAATTCCAATTAAACTTCCTAGTTTTGATCTAGTATACCTAAAGGGGTCTTTAAGTTTCTGGAGTATATACTATACCGAAGTAATAAGAGTGTACTATATACTAAATAGTACATTCTCAATACTCCGGATTCCGTCATTATAGAAATATATAATGTAAGTAATATATCAGAGAGATGAATAGATTATATGCCGTTTCTGTAACACGCAGCCTTAGAAAAGCGAATAGCCAAAAATGTATTTAAATTTGTATTTGGGTTAATGTTTTATAATTTTATTAAGTGTAATGGATATAGTACTGAAGATATTTTTTATATGATAAAACTATTGGATTAAACTTCTACTATCCAAACATTGTTTCGATATGGAAACTGTTTATTGATTTGTTGCCCAAATTTGTGATTTCCTATTAATTTCGGAAATTGAAAATACCCAATATTTTTAAAAAGATTTTAGTCATATTAATTGTCATTTTAAACTGTACCATCCAGTAATAAAACTGAACAAAAAAAAAATGACAAAGATTATTGTTTTTATTGTAACTAAGCGCTGAATTTAAACAAAAATGTTTTTCTTCAATACTTCTCTCTTTACTTATATTATTTTCCCGTTTTTCAAATAAAAGATATCTCTACTGCTTTTGCTTATGTGCTTACTGAATTTTCTTATGTTTGTTTTTTGTTTGTTAATGAGACTACACATTTTTATTTTTATGTCAAAACCTTTTGAGACAAAATTAAAAGTTTTTTTTTCACTTTTTGGCGAAACCTAAATATTATTTTTTTATTATTATGTTTTATACATTATTGTTAGAAATGTTAAGGAAATAAACTTTATTTCACTAAATAAATAATGAAGTCCTAAAGAAAATAAATATAAGTAACTAAAGAAAACATAAACCCCCGTATTGCGGGCTTGCATAACTTTGAAATGCCAGGCGGAACAGCCCTGACCAATTTGCAGTCAAGTGTTTTAGTTAAGTTAAACTTTCAAAGGCCCCCATTCTAATCCAGGAATGTCTTAAGGGCCAACTTAAAACTGACTTTTCTGAATATTACTCGAAAGTAAATGTAGAGAATACAACTCCAACAAGAAAACACTTACTAAATTAGACGAGACGTAATTAGTGAAAGTAATTTAAAATTACACAAAAGCAGACTTATACTTTAACTTACTCTTATTAATTTCAAAAACTTCCTCAATTTTCGCACTATTACTGCTGAATAGGTTTAATAAAAAATATTCGTGGATATCAAAAACAAAATTAATGTAAACAAATTTTAATTTAAAAAAGAGTCCTAAATTCTTGGAAACATCACGAACACTACCTTTTTTTCATGCCGAAAAGTTTGAAAATAAACTCACACATATTTTATATGTAAATACATACATTTAATAATACAACCTATTTCAACCAAATTTATTTTTGTGATACTACATCAAAAAATATTATATAAGTGTCCTTGCGTTTTTTCCAATGGGCTCTAGGAGTCGACAAAAAATATAGTTTGTATAGTTGTTGCTCCTTTTCTTATTTATTTTTGCCTTTGCTTTGTCCAGATGGGTATTATATATCAATCTATTTCTTTTTTTTTTTTTTTGTAGAATTAGAAAAAATATTGGCTACTGATATTATTAAATGAATTAATAAAATAATATTAAATGAATTATATATTTTTTTCTCGGCTTCTACGGCCCATTGGAAAGAATGGCAGGATACACTTCTAATATTTTTTTATGAAGTATCACCAAAAAAAAATTGGTTGAAATCGGTGACCCACAGATTGTATCATCTCCTTGTAAGTGTTATAAGTTTAGTTCGTATAGTGTTCAGATATTAAGTTTTTTATTTACAGTAAAGTAATAATAAATATGCTTTTTTGAATAATACTCTAGTAATAACTGAAGTAAACTAATTTTATAGATATTTCTAAAATTGTAACAAGAAAGATACAGTCCCTCATAATAAAAAATGTCTTTTATTGAATTAAAAAAAATGAACGATTTATTTCTTTATGAAAGTAGCATTTCGTTGTGAAACATTTCATAACGTGATAACAATATCGCAAACAAGTAATAACAATGTCGTTTTAATTTTTTTTTTCTTCTCAATTAGTTTAAACTGCTCATTTTTTTCAGTAAGTCTAGAAAAAAAATTGTTATATTGCAATTAAAATTATATAGCACTATTTGCAGTAGTGAGAAAAAGGAAAGGGAAAGAGAAGATAAAGAAAAAATATGACTACTTGTGATAACTGTAGAAACATCAAATCACTAGAGATTTGTAATTTCTTCAGATATTCATTTAAAAACAATATGCATTTGATATTTTAAAACCATATTTCTAAAATTTATATTCGAAGGAGATCTTAAAACTAAAATGGTTCATAAAATCGTTCCATGATTGTTTATTTTATTTTTTATAGGAGTTTATTTAATAGTTTTTTTTTAAGATATCAGATCTTAGGATTTATATCTAGATATATTCTTAGTATTTCGATATAGTTATAAGATTACATCTAGATGTTTTCAATTCTCAATACTTGGTCATTTATTTTCAATAATTGGTAATTAAGATTTTTAAAAATATACAATAAGTTTGAAGTTGTTAAAGTAATTAATGATATAAATATTTAAAAATAATCTACACTGTTTCTTAGTTTTTAAGGAAACCTTATTATTATTCTCCTAAATCATAATGTTCAAAGAATAATAGAAGACATTAACCGGGCATAGAAGAAAATTCGAATGACAGCGAAAATTGGTTTATGTTTGAATATTTGAAAATAGTGAAACAATAGAATAAATTCCAAGTAAAAATGTTGCTAATGTTCCTATAGGCTAAAGAAAAAAAAACAAATAAATAAATATTCTCTAAAAAACAATAAAATATAATTAACACACTTCCCTAAACAAAAATGCAGTCAATTGTTTACATGAAAATTCCGTACAACAGTTACTAATGTTTATAAAGTGCTTAGTATACGTATACTGTGACTGAGTTTAATTCTAAAAAAATATATTTTATAATGTGGCGCACATTTAAATATATTTATAGGATCTGGATAATAATTAAGTTCAAATTATCAAATTTCATTTTTTATTCTGGGGGAGTTAAGGCAACTGAACTTGACGAAGTTCACTTCCACAGCAATTGTCATCATTGGTATTTCAGCTATAATACACAAATATGTGTGTCAATGTTGGAAAAAAAATTTAAGGAAATTTCAAGTTCGATTTTTTGAAATTTAATTATATTTGATATATTGGATTTTATTTATCGGTACATTTTTATATAGCTTTTATTTTTATATTTTATTTATATTTTTACTATAGACAGTACCTGATAGTAGTCTACAAGAGGACGATTGTCCACCTTGACTTGAGCTTGTTCTTGCTGCTGCCTCCTGGAGATGTAGTGCCAATACTGGGACCAGAGGAGGTAGATGTAACCGCACATCCCGAAGAAGACGAGGTTGATGAAGATCCAGACAGACACGGCGACGGCCCTCATCCTCAACAGACCATCTCCAGCTGGAGAGCTCTTCCAGCATCCTAACTCCAGAGGGTAACCTCCAGCGAACCTCTCCTACCGGCTATTGATCTAGCGCTCGAGGATACAGCTATCTATTGGTCGTACTCCGAACTTCAAACCCTATCCGATTTCTTACCAGATTCTTTGAATGAAAATATAAAATAAATAAATAAAATTAGTTTAAAATTTACAATGAAATTTATTCTGTTGAAAGAACAAAAATTTAAAATTTGGAAATCTATTCGTCAATGAATAAAAACCGTTTTAAATATATAAATGTATAATGTAGATATAGAAAATTAGTAAATAATTTGATTTTTAAGGAATAGGAAGCCAATTAAAAAAAAAATGCCATAAAATTGGCGATTGATAGTCAAGACGGACTCAATTTTTTAGTTAGATTTATTTTATTTTTTCAAAAACTTAAATATATCCGATATATTCCCATGAAATGTAGAACAGTCGATAAGCTTCCATCAATGATCATTAAAAATGTTCAAACACAAAACTATTTTATAATGATGAAAAATATATTTAAGTAATATTAATTAATATGGTTGGGGATTGCAGTCAGTGAATAACTCATATATTTTTTTTAAAAAAGTAAAATTAAATATTTTAAATTTTTTTTTATAGATATATTATTATTCTGTTAAAAAAAAGTCAATATCTCGACAGAATAAATATTGAATTGACTTGTAATAAAGCCACTATGAAGTAAGATTATGATTTATGAAGCAGTTGGCCAATTTCACACATTGTTCCAAATTTTAATAATCTTCTGGCACCGTAATTTTATCAATTAAAAACAAAATAAATAAACATTCAACCATCCAATACATACTTAGTCTAATTACTTGATGTTCTGCTAAAAAAAATTCTTTAACATGAAAAAAAAAATTATCAACTAAGACACAAAGTTATACATTTCTTGACAGATTGATTGAAAATTATAAGTTATTTTTTTAAAAATAATTTTACGTGAACAACTTTAATGAAAAACATCTTTGATAAAGAATGGCCAGAAGGGGATTTCATAGCAAAAGATGCACCATCAAGATTTTTGAGGGAGGACATTTCGATGGGATTTTGAATTTTTGAGGATGACACATTTCAAAGGAGCTATGAATTTTCGGAGTGAAAAGTTTCAAACAAGAAAATAAGATGTAAAACATTAAACATGCCACAACAAGTGTGATTGCATATCGACAGCCACACTGCAAAACTCTGTAAGGACATTTTTTTTTCTATCTATTTTTCAAATTAGGTAAAAAAACTGTAAGCTAGATTGACCTACAAGAATATTTTGTAGAAATATGAATAAGAAAGATTTTTTATAGAACATACCGTCTTTGTAAAAAAAACAAAAAAAAAACAGATAATATATTGGTCGTGAAATAAAAATTAGGCAGTTTATTAGTCTTCTGAATATTTCTTCTTACAGGTCTCATGTCCGGGAGAGAGGGGATCTCGGGCGGTCACCCATCCACGCTCGGCGTTGCTTAACTTGGTTATCTTTTGCAAGCGTCTTGGCCCGTACGACTACCCCAGCGCCATATATATATATATATATATATATATATATATATATATATATATATATATATATATATATATATATATATATATATATATATATATATATATATATATATATTAGAGAGCGGGGTGGCCGAACGTGCTAACGCGTGTGTACAGCACCACGAGTTGCCTGGCAAGCAGATTACCAAAGTTATTGAAAGATTAAAAAGTACAAGTTCGCGTTCCGATGCCGGAAGGGATTTTAAATTGCCAGCTCCCGCCTTTCCCTTTCCCCCCACCCCTCGGCTCGGGAAAAACCCGTGTAGCCAAAAAGGCGAGGTAGGGAAGAACAAAATAATAAAGCTTATAAAAAATGTTATTAATTAAAATCTTTAAGTTTTTCTTAAAAGTTGTCTTGTCTAAACATGAATTCTTCATGAACCATAACTCCACCGTAGGGTACTTTCAAAACTTTTTCTAAAAAAATATTAAATGACATTTTGTATTTATAAATATTAAAAAATTATGAAAGTCGACTCTTCGTCTTTTAGATTATTCGTCTACAAGTCTGATTCTTAATATTCTCAGTTTACTGAAAAATGAAACTAATATCAAATATAAATTCGATGTAAAAAAAATAAATAAATATGTTTAGGCCACCATTGGATTATTAAAATCGATGTTGATTGGCAACAAATGAAAAACGACTTAGAAACAAAACAGTTGGAATTGTTCGCTTTGCCTCTTATTGAGTGGACGTCAGAGATATATGAAACCAATTAACCTGATTTCATTCACTTGGCAAACTCAGTTGTTAGTTTGTTGTTTTTTGTTTCTATTTTTTACGTCTGATTTATTGTTTTAAAAATATGAAATATTAAAAAACGATTGAATGGAATCCTGAATTATTTCCATATGAATAAATCTCTTGACTAAAGAGAAAAACGTATATAATAAATTGTGTGAGACATGCCATGTAATATTTTTAATAAAAAGAATATCAATGGAAATAATAGAAAAAGATCCATTATTTCTCGACATTCCCATTAGATTCTTAATGAGAAATAGACTTAACTGCTCCTTTCTAATTACACTTGAAGCAACATTAAACAATGGTAGCTCAGGAAGTGCATAGACCACGAAAGATTTGTGCAAGAATATTGTTGATCCAACTGGTAGTTCATTTTGCTTGACTATTATACGGTGTAAGCATTAAAGAATTTCAATTTATCCTATTAGATTCGCAATCGACCACACTGTGGACTAATGTAATTATAAATGTTCTATATTTTTATGGTACTTGCAATCTTAGACCAAGCGCCAGGATTCTTTTCACTATTTGGTTCAGTACTAAAGTCGCACAGCATTTTGTCAATATCAGGACTTGGAAATATGGTGCTGGCTTCTTTTAGAACTATGTCAGCCAGTTTATTGCCCCTTCTTCTTATCTTAGTTGGGACCCAGAGAAATTTTTATTGTTTTGTTTGTTTCTTGAAAAAGTTATAAGTGAATAGAGAATATTATGAGATTTCTACAGAATTAAAATTTTTTTATTAACTCGAGGCTGAGTAAAATGCCTCTAAAAACACATATATTGTTTTTAATAACCAGTTTCTGTAATATTTTGATCTAATATGCTTGGTTTAGCAGGTGAAAAGATCTAATTCATTCTTTCTTTCTTTTTTCAGAACCTCCATAGCAGTTACGTATACTGGTAGGATCAATGCTGTCAGAAAAAAGAACTCGTAATTAAAAAACAAACAGGAAAGAATATGAAACTGTCATTCAAGTTTAGCTACTTCTCTCTGAAAGGCAAAGCTCGTTTATTTTTTCCTTGTGAACGACGGCGTGCGTTTGCTTAAGATATAAAAGGCTTTAGAAGCATTATGCCCGAGCTGAGGAGCCAAGACTTGCCTTTAAAAATTCTCTTTATAGACTGTCGAAAAGATAACATTGCCCCAAGGTACTTACTTTTTCTTCCTCACATTTCCTGTTATTCTTCTAAATATTTTATATTTTTATGGATCTGAATATTGCATACTTCATCTCAATCTACTGAAAAATTAAGCTACACCTTTAATATTTTTTATCAATTCTTGATTTATTTATTTTTTTTAAATAGTTCAATATACTCGAATCAGATTTTAATATTAGTATTTCTTGAATTGGGGTATAGAATTCAGTCAAATAACTTAACGATGTTTCTATAAATATTAGAGCCTTTCAGTAAAAAGTATTGCGATCCATCAATTTCTCTCGAAAAAGATAACCAATGAAGCGGTCAAAATCACTTGTATAATAATTACTACGTACGGTCAAGTATTGTGAATATAACTCCAAATATAAGAGTACTTTTTTTTTGTAATTTAGAAACGAACTATATAAATGATGAATATAATATAAATTCTCATAATAGGATTTTTTTTTCTTAAATATTAAGATATATTTAGAGAAAACGCTTTATATTTTTACTTTTTTCTTCTTTTCAATTTCATAATTTATTGTCCAACTATTAAACATAACAGTTGGAATAAATCATACTGAATAGTAATAATAACAGAGAAAGTTCCGAGATTTTCCATAAACATAAAAATATTTTAAGACAAACTAATTTCAACTAATAATTTTCAATTAATGAAATGATAGCTAGAAAAGATAAATGGGTCATGAGATATACAATATAGTTGGAATGTTGACCTATCGAGTTGAGAAACTAAAATAAAAATTATATTCTTAGACAATAAATTATGTAAAATGTATATGGTATATTATACATTTATGAAATACTAGGATAACCAGGGGGCCAGACCAACCCCCATTTTACAAATTATACAACTGTGCATTAAATTGTACTACTCTTTGCTCAAGTTGTAACTTTAAATTACATTTATTCAGTAGTTCAGATTGTATTATTTTTTATCAACATAAAATAAACTGAACGAAACCACAGTTTGGACCAAATAATTAATTTCTTTACTAATCTATATTATATATCACGCCTTATTGCTAATTTATATTAACACAATTATTCTTCTTGCCAATTTTACCATAATATGCATTCAACTGTATTATTTATAATATTTATTTTCATTGTGCTTCCTTATTGTGATATATTGTGCTTCCTTTTCTATTTCTTGATAATTAATATATTGTGTTCAGAATCCAGAATACAGAACCCAATACAATTGGGCAGTAAGCTTTTATATTTTGTATGAAAATAAAGTGTTCTCTCTCTCATAGAGAGAAATAAATATGTGTATGTTCACCTCTTTACTTTCTTGAGTCGTAATGAACCATCCTCGTCTACAAGTCGATAAATATTTCTCAGCACTTTTCTTTCTAGCTACACAATACTTTCAGCAGATTCAATACTCCATGTCCAGGCTTTCGATGGCTATGTCAAGATTATCTGAATAAGCCTTATATTTGTAAAGAGCTTAGATAGACCAAAATGACATTGACTATCTTCCATTATTCTGTAGTTTATATCTTCT